CATACAAGTACAAAATAGCGGTTATAATTTCAAGGCGTTTAAGATAAGATTGAGCTTGAGCTGTAATAGCTCGCCGGGGGCATATAAAGTGTTACCTGGGAAAAAAGGACGTCTTCATGAGTGTCATTTTGACTGTTTAAGAGGTGAGAAAATGATCATCGTACTAACATTAGCCTTTTCATCACCAGTCTAATCGTGAAAATCGCCAATTACACTGGTCACCCCCTGCCCAGTGATTAGAGCGGCTTGCTGAGATGATTTTCACTTACCCGACGGCTACCACAAGAACCATTCAAATAGAAAGTCGTAATAGGCACGGGTTTAGAATTCTGTTCTTAAAAGATAAATCATATTGAAAAGTTGTTGATTTTATACCGTCGAAGTGACCAAAACGGCCCGCCGCTGTTAGGGTGTTGATTGGGGTAGCCTGACCTTTATATAGTTAATATTTAGCTTATTAAGGGCTAGACACAAGACCTGCCAAATGCTACAGTTTGACCCAGCCCTTCCTAGGGATCAAGTCCTCTCGAGAATCCTAGTTAGGGTTTACTGAGTGGTATGGTCGGATTTGACAATAATTGCCACCTGTACAGGTATTGTCACGACAGGTTCAAGTCGTAAACGATTAGGCTTTGTATACAACACGATCGGTGTCGGTACAGAGAGTGGATCTTTGTTGTGTTCGATCCATCATATGGACAATTTCTTATCTCATGGATTATTGTTTCTGCTTTTAAACACGATTTTTGCTGTTGGGACCTACCCGGTTAACAGCGAACACGTCATTCAAGATCAGTTAGGAAGTTGCAAATATCTTCTGTTAAAGCTTGCCTCTCTAACAATATAAAACTGTACCACAAGAAGTTACCGAGTTCTAATTCTATTCGAAATGATGAAAAACAGGAAGTGATGATAATGAACCGCTTAAACAAGAGAAAAGTCATCGTGAACTTAAAATAAATAAATAAATAAATAAATAGAGTAAACTAATAGATAAATAAAAGGGAGGTGATAATAACAAGCCTCTAACGCACATAAAGCTACAAATATACATGTATGGATGCATTCTCGCAGATATATTTAATGAAATTATAATAAATGAATAAATAACTGCAGGTATTTCAAAGTTGACCGATTAAAAAAAATATCAATTGATTAGTCGTAATATATGTATTCTCTCTCCTACCTTGCATCTATAACGAACGAAAGTATGATATGGAGTGCATAGCCCCTCTCATCATATGTCCCTAAATTAACATCAACGTTCTTCCCGAAATTTTCTTATCATTTTGCATACATGTTGGAGGCAGTTTTGTAGAACGTTTCGTCCTGTTTTCGGTATTGTTTTCAATATTTCCAAAACCATTTCTCTATGTTGTCATATAAGATTGGTAACATTAGATAAGGAGAGTGTGAGATATGTGTTAAACGTACCGTTTTTGTACGCTAAAATTGGTAACATTAGATAAGGAGAGTGTGAGATATATGTTCTATGTACCGTTTTTATACGCTAAAATTGGTAACATTAGATAAGGAGAGTGTGAGATATATGTTCTATGTACCGTTTTTATACGCTAAAATTGGTAACATTAGATAAGGAGAGTGTGAGATATGTGTTATATGTACCGTTTTTATACGCTAAATTGGTAACATTAGAAAAGGGGAGTGTGAGATATGTGTTATACGTACTGTTTTTATACGCTAAATTGGTAACATTAGATAAGGAGAGTGTGAGATATGTGTTATACGTACCGTTTTTATACGCTAAAATTGGTAACATTAGATAAGGAGAGTGTGAGTTATGTGTTATATGTACCGTTTTTATACGCTAAAATTGGTAATATTAGATAAGGAGAGTGTGAGATATGTGTTATATGTACCGTTTTTATATGCTAAAATTGGTAACATTAGATAAGTAGAGTGTGAGATATGAGTTAAATACCGTTTTTATATGCTAAAATTGGTAACATTAGATAAGGAGAGTGTGAGTTATGTGTTGTATGTACCGTTTTTATACGCTAAATTGGTAACATTAGATAAGGAGAGTGTGAGATATATGTTCTATGTTCCGTTTTTATACGCTAAAATTGGAAACATTAGATAAGGAGAGTGTGAGTTATGTGTTGTATGTACCGTTTTTATACGCTAAAATTTGTAACATTAGATAAGGAGAGTGTGATATATTTTTTATATGTTCCGTTTTTATACGCTAAAATTGGAAACATTAGATAAGGAGAGTGTGAGATATATGTTCTATGTTCCGTTTTTATACGCTAAAATTGGAAACATTAGATAAGGAGAGTGTGAAATATGAGTTAAATACCGTTTTTATATCCTAAAATTGGTAACATTAGATAAGGAGAGTGTGAAATATGAGTTAAATACCGTTTTTAAATGCTTTACATTCTCATCGTGATGAGTTATAAGTAACACCCTTAGCATTATATGTGGACACGTGAGAAGTCTAAAAATTGTAAGTATACTATAACTTTACCTTGACGTGTGTGCAGTTAACTCACTATACTATGTTTAAACTTAACAGCAAAACTACTTAAAATAAATCATTTACAGTGACAATTTGATGTTATGCAAAGTTGATAACTTTATGATACCTATTTGAATACCTATTGATTTCAAACACTCATATTTTCCAAAACTTATTATCCTCTAAAACTATAACCAACTTATATTTCAACACAGGAACATAAAATAAACATGTAATATATTTACACTGAATACCATGGTACAATATCTGTACGCCACGCATCTCAAACAGACAGCTTAAGCATACTGATTTGGTTAAATGTAAGACATTTCGAATTTCCTACCAAAAAGTTGTCCAATTTATGGGTGATATTATAAAAAAAAGTATTTATTAGCCATATCAACGTATTAATCAGTAAATGAATATAAAGGAAAATGCACGTTGAGTATAATAAAATGAAATCTTACTTAATAAAGAAACATATGAATAACTTTTTTTGTGGTAATACAGCTATTTCAGGTAAGGCATCGATGTGAATGATGCCTTCACAAAAACAACGTAAATCCAACGCTTTGAAAAGGCATGACATTTCTGTAGAACGTGTGACACCTGCACTGTTGGACTCAGTCAGGGTCGCATAGTAGCTACAAATTATCTGAAACGGTGTGAATTTCTTTAAAAAAACCGTCAAATATTACAAAATACCTCCTGTAGAAAACTTTTACTAAAAAGGGTATTCACAAAGAGTCAGTCCAGCAAAAGGCTGACACGGAGAGCAGTCGCTCGAGAGGCGAGTTTATCCTATCAATTTTATGTCATCATTAATGGATCTAGTGCGTTAACTTTATTTGATCAATATTGGTTATCCTAGCTATAATGTAGAGCCGCATGTGACTTGATTCTGATATGATATCGATTTTAAATCCACAACTATTGTGATAGACTTACAGAAAAAGTTTTATATACATATTTCTTATTCAGCACACATGTTTAATCATAAATAAATTATTAATTTTATTTTAAAAGAGTTTAAAATAAAAACTAATGTTTAGTTATTATTTATCGTTGAACATGTTCTGATACAATACTATATCAACATTTGAGTTACGAGTAATTATAACCCTACCATATAAATCCATATTAGTATATACTATTGCATGAGATGAAACCCTGATGCTGGGGTAAAACACTCAGCACAAAACAAAAAGTAGCCAGATTATCACCTTAAATTGACACCCAACGGTAATACCTGAACAAAGATAAAAACAAATCTTTGCAATGACTACCTATGACACAATTTGAAATGTTAATTATTTTTGTTAAATGAGACGACGAGTGTGTTTATATTATCTCTTTACACAGATGCGTATCCTGATAACATCCCATTTAATAAATTTGACACAGATTGAGAGATTGCCCTATTGTTATTAACTGACGGATGTTTGACGCGGTTTAACAGATGATGTACGCAGTTATCTGTACTGGCATACCTTTACCCTCGATCTGATACACAGACGTTTTCTCAGGCGATTATTAAGCGGAGTTTGCTTCAATTAAATCAACAGATTTCAATATTTTACAAGTTACAGGACAAATGTAATTGAAATTAGAGTTTAATATGTCACGAACAGTACTATTCTGTAATCGTTCAGTAATATGTAGAATATTTACATTTATATTAGCTATCTGAAATTGTGTTTTTTTGGAAGGCATAAATAACATACAATTTAATACCGACTACTGTTTTTTAGCATATTCAATAAAAACATTTTCTCAGAAAAGTTAAATTGATATTCTATTACACATTTGAGTCATATACCGGTATCTACGTAACGTACCAAAAGTGTGAGAAACATCTTCTTTATCACAACACAGAAAATACATTACGGGAGCTCACTACCTGAAGGTGGGAGAGAGGACGGGATCTGAGCACATATATATTGTGGGTAACGGCGTGGAAGCGTGATATCTCGTGTTACTATAGACAGGTAAGGGGTAGCTAACAGTGACAATACTCGCAACACGATAGGTGTCAATTAGCCTACGTATTTGTCATATCCTCACCGCGGGTTTAAAAGATATCTTACTTAGATTGACAAATGCGTGAATAAGAGAAAATTATAAACCCTAATTCATCCAGTGTCATTTAATCCAGTGCTTCCCAAGCTGGTTTGGTCTATAATCCAGCTATCAGGCTCCGCCTTTCCCATTTAATAATCATTGAGCCGAGAGGACGGCAACATAATGTATGCTAAATGGCGACTTGAAAGAGATTTGCGGTTTTCTGATGTGCTGTATGCCAAGCGCTGATTGGCCAATTCTGTATAATTATCGATTTTATGACAATTGCATCGTTGACAGACAATTGACCTATCAAAATTGAGGATTCACCCTCACATGGTCATCGCAGGATGTGAATACTTTTGTAAGGATAGAGCGAAAAGTTACATGGAATCAAAACGCGTTTACCAAAGGATTTATAATGGTGTTTGAATTGTTCAGCTGTGCAGTTTCATGCTACCAGCAGGTCTGATCACTTAACCAATCTTGTCATATTGATGATTCGAAAATCAACAGCAGATATCAACATCATTTGAAGGAAATATTTGCTTACAGCAAAGGTACGTGCTAATTCTATTGTATTTTATTATTTTATTAGAAGAAATTTATCTTATATGCATAAGTATTTTCCAATCATTTTATATCATATCTTTACAATATATACAATATGATATGATACAATTATGCAGGTTTCTTATATTATTTTTATTGTGCAATTTTTGTAATAATTTTACATGTAAAGTTATTATTTTAATATCTTTAAGATGAAAACTATAATTGTTGTATTTCCTTTTTTCAGGTTGGACAATTTTCTGTTCACCATGTCATTGGCAGAAAATCTCAGCTCTGACCGACAGACGTCAAAACAGACATGCTTAGCTTCAGGTAAGGAAAACGCTAATACTCGACCGAAACTAGCCTTTTCCATTGAAAACCTCATCGAAACAAATTCAGGAAACGAAAAATCAAAAGATGCTGAGATAACGTCCGGCATTGTTGATGACAGGGAAATATCAAAATCCGATGTATCAGATGCTGAATCTTCAGAGCAGGAAATGTCAGTTTCAAGCGGAAAACAATATTCTCCAGTTCACAGTCCACCGCAACAATCTGGAACTTTCACAAACTGGCTAGTAGGAAGAGATGTTCTAAGAAAAAACTCTACACCAAATATGATCCGCGACAACAGGGACTACATGATGGCAGGGTATCAGTCCTGTCTTCATCCGGCGTTTTTCATAGGACGGATGTCTTTGGAGGAATATCAGAATTACTTGGTACGGAACTACTCAATTTTCCAACAGCAATTTCCGTCGTATTCGTCCAAGGGAAGGGAACCTTCTATAGACTATCTTAAATCATTGAGCATCCAGAAATTTCACGAGTCGGGAAAATTTGGAACCCGAGAAAACATAAATGCTTTCGGAAGTAGGACGGAGGAAAAATTACCCGAAAAGAATGAATCTCTTCCCTTTAACATAAAAACGAAATTTGAGGAAAGAAAGGTTCAAAACATCACCGAAAACAACGGACAGCCTCTCGGAGAAAAAAAGATACATGAAAATAACAACGAAAGTGATCCGGTCTCATCTAAAATGAAGAAAATCGCGAACAAATCTCAGAAAACATTCACCTGTCAAGAATGTGGAAAGGTTTTCAATGCTCATTACAATCTTACCCGTCACATGCCAGTGCATACAGGAGCCCGGCCGTTTATTTGTAAGATTTGTGGTAAAGGATTCCGACAGGCAAGCACGTTGTGTAGACACAAAATCATTCACACCTCCGATAAACCACACAAATGTGGTACGTGTGGGAAGGCGTTCAATCGAAGTTCTACACTAAACACACATATGAGAATTCACATGAACTACAAACCCTACATTTGTGAGTATTGCGGGAAGGGCTTTCATCAGAAAGGAAATTACAAGAACCACAAACTTACACATAGTGCCGAGAAACAATACAAATGTTCCATCTGTAACAAAGCGTTTCATCAAGTCTACAATCTTACTTTCCACATGCACACACATAACGAGAAGAAACCCTTCACCTGTCGCATATGCGGCAAAGGATTTTGTAGGAATTTTGATCTGAAAAAACATACCCGAAAATTGCACGAGGGTAATTCTCTGCCCTCGGCCACAACCCCACCCCTGGGACAGATGGATCAGAGTTCCACCGCGCTGTGCGGATCGGCTAGTACGTATGCTCACAACCGGCTAGGATCTACTCAGGGTGCCTTTATCAATGCACGGCCCTCTCCGTTTTCTCCACAAGCTTCTCTGACATGTCAACGCAATCTTTTGTCTCAATATATGTTGAGTCCAACGTCAGCGAGCTTTCTGCATAAATATTCAAACTTCCTGTAATTCTTAGAAGAACAAACTTTTTATCAAAGCTGGAAAACATGGACAAAAAAAAAGGTTAACTTTTCATGATTTTCTTTTGATTTTGGGATTGAATCTTACATTTATTATATACCTTTTCTCTATGAATTTAATGTGTTCTACTTAGATAAAAATCTAAAGATTAATCGTTGTTAATTTAACGCTTAGAAATAGTATCATCATGTTTATATTCTAGTATTTTAGTTTGTTTTAGATATTGATATCAGAATATATTGACATTTACATTTTGTTAGCAAATAATCATGCAAAGCAATGATTTATACAATATATCTTTATATAAATTATTTAAACGGTAGACTTGTATTTATTGGAGATAAATAGTGCTATGTACGACGATTCAGGTTAAATGGAGATACAGATTTAATATTGCACGGATCAGTGATTTTGTATACGCAGAGTTAAAGACTTGCCATATAAGACGATAGTTGTCTGTTATAATAGATGACATTAAAACAAACTCCCTGGATGATAGTGATGACATGCCTTGATTGTAGAACTTTGTAACCATATGGTGAAACACACTTTACATTGTTCACACTGACCAGCGCCTGAGATAACATGTGATAATTCCTCGCAGTAATGTGGCGACGCATTAATTTTATTGGATATTGAAATAACCTTTTCCTGGGAGAGCTGGTTTGGCTTGGTGGTATGGCGAGGATAGCTATATTTTTGCCACGGCTTGTACAGTCATGTGTGAAAATCTGGGGGTATCTGATGTATTAGTTCAACTCCATTCTCGAATTCTTTTTCATCTGATTGTTATCAACAATAAAGGTTTTCCTTCTAAATTAAAATACTCTATCTTACTTTTTTGTGTTTTAACGTTTGGTCGAAACTTCTGACTGGAATGTTTTTTCCCGATTACAAATTGCAATTCAGATCAATTTTCAATATTTCTTTCCGATTGATAATGTGATTCAGCTGGCCTGAGCCAAACGATTTAATTTGTATAAGCATAGTGTATCACAAAATGAATTACCTAATGTAATAACTGGAGATCTCCCTGTCAGAGGGCAAAACATCCTTCAATGTAATCAATTAGATCTGAGTGATTCATAAAAATGTACTTGCTCAGTTCATTTCTAGATAATGACATTTTCTATTGAAGTTTTTATGCAATTTTTAATCAATTAAAACATTCCAATGAAGTTTATACTATGGAAAATAATTACTTTAAGTTACAAGAATAAAAACAGGTTAAGACAGAAAGGTTAAGATATAAAAAAAAATCTGTTTCAATTACATTTCAAATAAAAACTGAATATACTTCAACATATTTTTCATTGCATCATTTCTATTAAAGCTTAAATCATACTTAACATAAATTACAGTATAGATATGTATATATCTATTGTATTGCAATATTTTCAAGTATAATTCACATATATTAAAAATGCCCGTAAATATTCGCTTCTTTTGATTTTTTTGATTTTTTTTGCTATCTCATGTTATTTTAACTGGGTATAACTACATAAGTATGTTTTCATGTTTTCAATCTTCAAGTTAGATTGTCATTGTATCTGTATACTTCGTGTTCAAGATATCATCTTTTTGAATAGAAAAATATTTGAACTACAAATGAATTATACCTAGATGTCTCTATTGTATGGAAGCATAGATATGCATAGATGTGTTTTCCCTAAATTTTTATCATTGAAATAAAATAACTTAAAAGGAAGCATTTTTGATATGAATTGGATCACGATCAGCACTTTATTTTTAAACAGCTCTGGTTTAACTGATTTTCGGTTCATTATATAAACGAATGCTAAATCATATAATCTGGGACAAAATTGAAATTAATTAACTCAATATATTTAGAGCCTATAAATGTCATCACAAAAAAATGGATAATCATATACAGAGAATGTGACCGTGATTTCGATGTACATTGCGGCTATGACTTTATCAGCAAATAGTAAATCGGGCTCTCATCACATTAAACTAACTTATATCAGGATAACTACATATGTTTGCAAACTGATTTCTTTATAATAATATGCATATATGCTTGAAGTATCAATACATGTATGCATCATGTAATACAAATGTCAATTAATTGTTTTGGGAACGTCAAATTTATATTTACATCTACTTATTGGTGAAATCGATAATAGCTCAATTATAGATAGACGTGATGTCTAATGTGTATTGGTATTATCACCCGTGTTTCCTAGTACATTACAGTACAATCATCTGATGTTAAGTTAGAGGCGCACATTCTCCTTTAAATTTACAAATGTACTATTAAAGAAACGTGATTGCTTCGTTGTCAAAACAAATATGACTACAGACTCTGCTTATGTGAAGCAACGTTTCACAAACCAATTATAATAAATAATTTTTCTTTCCCATCTAAATTGAGGTTATCATCATTTGAGATAAATCCTTAGGTGCATTATTTAGGTATGCGATATTAAGTTTAATCTATTTTATGGTGAAGTGGAAATAAAAATAATTTTCACAATGTGGTTTAACTTATTCAAAACTTGATAAATGGAATGTTATAATTGTATACGTATAATTTTTAATAAAATTATTGAGAAGTCAACTTTAAGCAATTACTAGATATATGAAGTAATGGAATACCTATTTAAATTAAGTATCGGAGGCTGAAAGCCATTTTATTGCACTGGATGACAATTTCGTCTATTCAGAACCCATCAGTGAACATTAATCTAAAGTATCATAATGTCATGTTTTCATCCAAGAAAACAGTATTTACAAGCTGTTTACATATCTGGATAATCAATTTTACAAACGATCCTTTTAGCTCTGTATAATGGAGAGGATTGAAAATATGCTGCTTTGTATGAGTTGATTAATTGACGAAGATACGGGCGGAAGTCTTGGTTTATGTCAACAAGTATATCAATAATTCAATAGTGACACTTGGCACATCATTTAGTTATGCTATATTATAATTTAAATTTGGAACTACATGAAAACTCATTGTTTAATTCAAACACAGTTGAATAAATAGTTCTGATCAGTGCATCATCGACTTTAGATTTAAGAGAAATGTTTCAATATGATATCGATTTATCTAATAAAGAAACATATAGGGCAAATTGTTATTGATTTACATTCAAGAATACTTGAATACTTCTTCAGGAATAATATCACATGTACCATAAGTCGCCTTCATTCATGATATATATAAAACTAATTGCATACATTGGTATTAAAATATAATAATATCTATGTGTCGTTGACATTATGATCACATTTAAAATTCTGTCAGCCAGGCGTATAGAAATTCCATAACAAAGCACTTCAGTGTCATCAAACTGTTATACACACACACATGAATAATTTTTAAAAAAATTGAAAGTAACAGAATCGACAAAGAAAACACCTGTGCAGGTAATACAACGGTTATTTGCCACATGTTTATATGACTAATTAAATCGTTCATCGTTCTTTAAAATATCAAGTTATAATACACAAAAAAACAGGAAATAGATTTGTGAATCAATAAATAATAAGATACTATTAGCCATGAGGTTTACATTATAGTGGCATTACTACCTGTACTGTTACCCTAATTGGGTAAGTAGGTATTAACCAATCAAGTTGATATGTTATTATTACTGTTGTACATTTACCATTTTCTCAAAGAGTTGATTTACAAATTTCTAAAAAAAAAATGACTTATGCTTTAAAAAAAACAAAGCATTTAGGAAATTGTATTACAACATGACTTTTCTTTTGATGAAGTTAAATTTAAACAACTAAACTCTTACAGAATACAATATGACTATGGTATTGACACATTCTTATTTTCCAATTTTGCCCTTCATGTGAACATCTTTTTAATAACAATATTTATTAGTTGTACAATCAGATTACATTATAAAACAATTATAACACAGTGCACTATTCATTCTGTAATCCCTTATCATTGATAATCCGAATTTCTGAATAAATAACACACTAAGGATTTTAAAGAGACTTTTACGCACAGACAGATGTTTAAAAAAATGTTTATGAAAGGAAAACCCTCGTTTTCCCCCAACAAACGGACAACGGTATTCAGTTGTCTTTAACGTTTGATAATTGTGCAATTAACGTGAAAGATATTCTTCAATGAAATCTAATCGCCAACAGTACGGTTATACGCGAAAAAGATATTAGATATTGATTTTTTTTTTTATAAGTGACAAACAAATATTTCGAAAAAGACCTACGGTGAATATGCTTTATATTAACGCGTACTCAAATTATTGGCCGATTTCTACATTAGCAGACTTTGGTTAAATGTTCTTTTAAACATCTCAGATGTTACATGCCTAACCTAGTCGTTTTATAATGGATTATGATTTATATTTTGAATTTGAAAAAAAGAAACCACCTTTTATTACCTTTTTTTTAATAGAAATCATATGTTACTTGTCACCATAATTTAATCTGATTGCTGCTGATACAAGATGCGACAAAAACCATGACGGCAGTGTGGTCCTTCCACATCAGCGATAATTCCACAGCTCTTACTACCCTCACTCCAGCACCACTCCAGTAGCACCCGGGTCCTCAGCCCCTTACGCCCGAACAGACAAGGAGGCCTATCGCTTGCCTTAAGTTGGTGGAAAACCCCACAAGTATGTTGCCTCGCAGGGCTTCCCTACTCAACGAAATCAAGCAACTCGAATAGATCACTACAAAACAGCATCATTTCATTTTAAGAGTGTGTATTACATGAACATGGGTCACTGACATACTGTAATATCCATACATTAGTCATGTATAGCATCACCGTTAACATCACACATAGACACAAAAACATTTTACACACATACAAAGTTATTAAAAAATATAAGCTATTATATAGCACTTCAACATTTGACACGTATTTCTGTAACACGATTAAGGCTTTGCAATTTTTCATAAGATGGATTACTATCTCCAGTCGAAATTAACACTGAAATTGCTGTTGCTGCATGGATGCATTCATCATTTTCAATATTATATGACAAATGCTCTCATTTTATTCTGAGATTATGACTTGATTTCATTTAATTTCGATGCCACTTCATTCTTCAAATACACGATGAAAACTGATATTTCTTAAATGATGATATCGAGATATTCTCCAAAAACTTGCATTTAAGACTTTTGTTTAATTAAGATTACATTTAGTATGTTTTTGCTAATCTGGGCCTCTCAGTAAAAATACGAAATTAGATTTAAAAAGGATTCTGCTCAATTACAAAATAGACATGAAAGACTGCAAGGGAACTGCATTTAGTTTAAGATTTATTTGAAATTTTGAGAAAAGATAGTTTTTAAATCGAAGTCTTACAGATTACAATGACACACTTCTTACAAGTATACAAATTACAAATATAACAATCAATATTTCGACTTAATATAAAGATAGTTAATGACAGTTATATGCCGTATACAGATCCGTAGCAATAGTTCACGGATGTAATGTATTTCTAAAGTCTATCTTGTCATTTCATACGGAATAGAATGATTATATAAACTAATAATACTTTTTAGAAATAAATAGTATTTCCTCAATTTCATCCTTCTCGTAAAGTCCTACTTTTGCATTACATGAACTACTTTTGTGGAAGTTATTTGATAAAAGATGCCCTTATTTCATTTTTGTTTGTTTTGTTTCGACTAAAATTACATTTTGAAAAAACACAAAAGCTTTTGTTTCGTAATGGAGATGAGACAACAATATCACAAACATCAATTAAGATAATACATTGAATGGAAAATTCATTATATAGTTATTTGAAAAGAACAGTGAATAACGATTATGACAAAGAGCTACCGGAAACAATCTACACACGACACAATACTTATAAGAAATCATCCAGGAAATGATTAAAATCTGTTATGATGTTAACCCTGTAAAATTGTGTCTGACATTCATAGCTTATAAAGTTGGCTTCGGAAACAAAAG